TGGATTCCAGAAGATATACAGCATTTCCAAAGCTAGGGGTCTGTACTATAATAGAGACTGTATGTGTGTAACTGTACACCCTGTTTTGTCTGCAAAGAGAATTACGAGAAAGAGGCATGATGGGTCTCAAGGCCCAGTACTGGAAAACTCTTTGACTAAGAATTTTCTTTTTTGCATCTTTATGATAAAGATGGTTGATGGTTGTCTTTGGTCTGGGACAGGGAAATCCAGGTGTCTTCAGAGTCAGTGAAGTATGTGTGTGTCTGTAAGTTAGCATACTGTACATGTTCACTGGTGTTCAAATACAGTATAGATGAAGTTTTTACGAGCTTGTGTGCTGGTGTATGAGAAAACAACCAAACAGAGGGAGGTATAAGTGGATTTTTTGTTTGAGGTATAAACAGCTCTTTTGGGGATCCACCTTCTCAGTGAAATTAATTTACAGCCAGAGTGAGTGTTACTGGTCAGATCAAGACAGGGGAGGGACTATTCAAGTTGGGACCCAAAACAGGACAGTGCAGGCTGTGGGCCACTGAGTTTCATCTTCTCAATGGTGACAATTCCTTACATTTACACAGAGCTTTTCATTCCAAAAGGATCGCAGGGCACTATACATACAAGAGGGGACCCACTTCACCCATCACTGAAGAGCAGTCTCACTGAAATCACTGGCTCTTGTGTGAAATAAATTATGATTATTGTACACAAAACCTCAACAAATTAAAAAGGCTCAAGGCATGTTTAAGCAAGTGGTCCAGAATCTATATGATTCTATTGGTGTTCAGTTGTGCAAATGTGAGTTTACCTCTTGGCCCAGGAGAAGATCCTGCAGGCTTTTTAATCCACAGTCTAAAACAATTGAGCACAATAACTTCATTGATCACCATGAACAAACATCAAACCACCACTCCAGAGCAGTGCAACATTATAAGCATAAAAAACACTGACAGAGAAAACCAATTTGACATTACCTCAACGGTACGACTTGCAAGCTGAAAGGTTTTTTTTTTTGTTTTGGCTCTGTCTTTGAATTCAAGGGCTGGACTGACTTATAGGAAGGTGGCAATACACTCACATTGTTGGTTGATACCCGATTCCTCCTGGGAACTTTTTGCAACCCTTGTTACAGAATCAGTCCTCAGGGAATTTAGCAAGTGTTATCGGTATATGACTTTACTCATGGGCACACATCTGCCTAGTAGTCTGCTAGTTACAAAATATCTGTGCTAAAGTAAATGCACATTTGAGAAAGTCTTCCAAACTTTCTATACCACATTGCCAAAAGGTATTGGAGGAACAGGACAGATAAGAGAACAATACTGTTGGTTTTGGCTGACCTGAGCTTCAATTTCCTGCTATGCAATGTGCACATTGAGTAATAAAGGTCGTTTTTTTTCCAGCCTTCCTGTACACCATGTCCCGGCTTAAACAGGGAGCGGACCAGATCCCCATGATGAAACGAAATTGACATTGTAAACTAAAATGCCTGCCGCAGCTTCAGAGAGATGTGTGCAATTTTAAATTCCCTGCTGACACCTGTACCATCACAGTCTTCCCACTCCATTAGAAATGGTGGGTCATATCCAAACAAAGGGACAGGGAACCATGAAAATGTCAACAGTGAGTAAAACAGGAACAGGCAATTTTGCTGCTGTAAGTCACCATGTGCAAGTTTTCAGTAATGTTTTGTATTTCAGCAAGAGCTAACTGTTTCCAAAATCATGACAAACCTCCCTTTCTTGATTAAACTGCATGCAGATCTTATACTACCTGATAAAGAGTGCATGCTTTAATTTATCAGCATGTAACCAGCAAATGACCTCTTACTGGCACAAAACATACAACAGATAGGGAAGGAAGTCTAATGGGTTAGAGAAACGTTGCTGCCTCCAAAACTGCAGAGAAAGATGAAGTGCCTATCACAGATATACTGTACATGAATGCTAACATTTAACACCACGCTCCTTGATCAGAAGAATAGATCCCACAACAGAAACAAAACTCAAGCATGTGGATCAGACCAACTGAAAAAACAGAGAGGAATCTGCAGAGTCAGCTCAAGTACCTCAGATGACAGAACGATCCCACAAAAACATGAAGGGAATGCATTTTCATGAGTTAAATATCTGTTAACATCCAAATAAAAAGACCCACAGAAGGGGTTTGGTCTTTGGGTTGTATGGTGAAAGATGCAAGTCTTTGCAGGCATTGTCAGCTTGGAAAAGGCAGCTTGAAATCTAACAATTACCGATGTGCTGACTCTTACCATCTTTTGTTTCTCAGAACAATCTTGGTTAAATTTAGAAATCGTGAATTGGAAACATGTGGAGCGATGGAACCAATTTTCTTTTATTAAACTGGTGTCCTGTATCAAGGGTCGCATTTCTTACAGGATGGGTTTTGAAACTTAACGTAAACAAATAAGCGAAAAGGAATGATGTGTTTAGTACTTCATATGGCTGATGCTTTTATCCAAAGTGACTTAAAATTTGAATTTATACAGCTGGGTGCTTTACTGGACCAATTCAGGTGAAGTACCTTGATCAGGGATACAACTGCACTGTTTTCTCTGGGACTGGAACCAGCAACCTTCTTGTTTTGTGTCCAGAGCTCTAACCACTGCACCAAACACACACCGGGCCTCCATGACTGGAGATGGACCACCTAGCTTTAAAACAACAGCCACCACAAATAAACACTAGGTGGCAGCAGTCAGGTACCATGTCCTTAGGGATCTTGAAGTCAAAGGCTTCCCTTATTTGTTTCGCTACATTAATATTTCCAGCCATACAAAACATGTACAAAACGCAGTCATAGCAATCAGTTCATCAACTGAACTGATACTCGGAGCTCCTGCAATCACACAGACGCGTGGGATAGAAAGTGCACTGATAAAATGTATGCATAGTCACGTACTGTAATTTAGAATAATTCACGCCATCAGTATGGCACAGATCCATTCTAAGAACAGCAGTCAACTGCACAACTACATCCTATATTGTCCCTTTTGATCAATTTAATGCCCTAGAATAAAATAATTTTATTGTAAACTAGGATAAAGTGATTATTCTTGGAAATCAAAGCACTGGCTCCTCAGGTGTCTTGCCTAGCACAGTTGCTTCTGCAGATAATAGGCCTGTACTGTAGGTCATGACTGGGCTGCGTTTTCAGGCATCCAAGGCTAAAGATCCTGCAAGCAGACGCACACTGCTGTGTGAGCGCTGCCTAGACTGCCTGGGATACAGACGGACAGGATATTCTCGGCTGGCAGAGCAGAAATGACCCCTGGGACTTGCCGGGGCCCTGCAAGCTTGCAGTCTTGTTAGCGATGCAATCAATGTGCATTCCCCCGCTAGGCCCTGTGTGGCTCCAGGTGACGAGTGGAACTGACAAGGGGGCGTGGAGGAGAGGTCAGAGCCTGCAGGTTCTGGGTTTCCCTGCGGTACGAGGGGCTAGAGTGGTCAACTACAGCTGGCGAGGGGGCAGAGTGGGAGAGATGTAAAATGTAAATTCCAAATGTGAATAGATAAACCAATGAAAGCAAAAGGTCCGAAGCAAGATGTTGATTTTTCTTTGCCGAGGTGGAGAAGGCACCATACGGAGAGATGTTAGACTTGTGGAAGCCAACCGAAAACACTGAAACATATTTGTCTTGCTAAGAGTCCTGCTAGCTCTCCAAGGCTTCAGAAAAAGCCTCCAAGTAAACCTCAACAGGCTGAGCAGCTTTCACATGTCAGCAATCGCCAGGCCAGGAAGGAAACAGAAGAGCTGTTTATTCACATGACAATTTACCAAACCAAAGCACTTATCCTGTATTCAGCTTTTAATAAAGAAGAGGAGGGGGCAACTTCCTCCGTCGTGGTTGTTTCTGAATAAAGAGGTCTGCATTTCTTCTTGAAAGCAAACCGAACCACCTGCAATTAAATAACTGAATTTAACTAGGAGCTCGCTTGGTTTCTGAAGGAAAAGCAGAGAAAACAAAATTAAATTACCTCACAAGTGATGTAATTTTTAAACTCTTCATATATATTTTTTTCTAATCCCATTTCTTGTGTTACTTGGGTGTTCTTGATACAAAGGTCAATTGTATCACAATTCAAGAATGGGGGTAAAAGATCCTGGTTCACCTTAAGCTATTTTCTGTGATTCTACCATATCAAGGTGGCTATCAAAAGCCTGCCGATATCAGGTTGATAGAGTTTGTAGGATTTAAAGAATCACTTTCTATCAGAAAAGACGCTTCTGAAATAGCGTGCCAGGTTTTCACCCCGGCTGGCCTCAAGCTGTGCTCACAGGTTGGGCCTGTCCTGTGCTGAGCCAGTGAAGCTGTCCTGACACGCCGCTCTGTGTGTCAGAGCGGGGCTCAGAACAAACCAGGAGGCGTCTAGTTTAAGCCCTACAGAAGATTAAAGAGTCCAGGAGTCAGAGGTGAGGAGTCTCTTCCTCTGCAGAATATCAATCGCCTCCTCACTCATCCAGTGCTCCTGCAGCTGTTCCCATCTTCACCTTTGCTCTATTTAATTCCATCCCAGGGCAGCCCTGATTGGTGAAGGGCTCTGACCTCTGTCTCCTAATGACCTGCTCAAAGGAAGCAGTTCCACTGAGATGGCCACACTCCAGATCAAACACTGACTGCCATCTCAAGCCTACACTACCTCATCTCGCTAGGTTACTGCTGCTCAGCTGGAAGTAGTCAGTCCCACCCAGCTACTGCCATTAGGTTTGAGGCTCTGCAGACTCTGCAGTTTGGAAAAATCAAGTATACTTTGCGTGGGTTGAATAAATCTTATAAAATCCAGATTGCACACCACTGTGTATATCCACCGCTGAACTAAAGACTCAGCAAACACAGGCCTGTTTTATGATTAGTCTCCAGCCCTCTCTCCTGTTCGGCGTCACATCTTCCATTACCCCAGTATTAAGGGGATTCTGCTTTCCTGATCCAGCTATGCACTGAACCCCCAGTGCACAAATTGTGCAGGAGAGATGAACCCCTTTACCTGGTGGCCAGCAGGGGGTGGCTCTGGCATGGGGCTGCCCAGGCCTCTCGCGTCCAGGGCACGCTGTCGTACAGCAGGATGTCCTTCTCCGTCAGGGCCATGACCACCGGCCGGAACTGGTGCCGCCCTCCGTCCAGCTTGATCTGCAAGCACAGGGGCCAGGTGGACATTACTGCACTGAAGCGCTCTCAAGCTACCCCCGGTTAAACGAGGGGCTGGGGACCCTTTAGACTTTCAAAAACTCCTTTTTTTACAACGATCCCCTCTGCCAAGTGGGAACTGAAACAGGACAAAAAGTCGCGCCAGAGTAGGATGACATAGCAATTAGGCACTAAATCCCACAACTACAAGAGTTTGGTAAAGACATTCTACTGAAGAAGAAAAATAATTACAGGGCAGCACAGTAGTACGACAACGCGTATTGCCTTCTCTCACTTTACAGATACTCTGCAGTTTCTATTTCTGCTAAGAAACAAGAATGTATCTCACTTTTCTCTTCTGGGGAGCTGAGAAGCCCGTTTCTGTATTTCAGGGTGGTGAACAAGATGGAACTGACCCAGGTTAAGAGGGTATGAGCAGACAGCTCAAGATCTAAACCAGGTCGGGACCCTTTCAAAGTGAACATGGCTATAAAAATGGTCTCGACTGCTGCCATCGCTCTGAGCTAGAGTAGTTCAGGTCTCGGCGTAAGAGGACCTCAGACTGCGAGCTCACAGAGTGGACAGATACACTCCGTACTCGAAGGGACAGGAAGCCAGCCTGCTGTGTGAGAGAAACGGGAAGGTCATGAGAAGGCCACCTCTTAGAGCAGAAAACAAAAATGCTCCCCCTCCAAAACTAATCCACAAGTTCTGCTTTTAAATCTGTTAAAATCATCTTCAGTCTAATTTACAATTAATCTTTGTAAGGACGGTGTCTATTCTAACAACTGTGCATCACTTTCAACTGGAGTCTTTGAGGTACTAAAAGGAGCCCAGGTGATCACAACTTCCTTCGTAGCACAGATGTTAACATTTTAGCATCATTACTTCTCAATCTTAACTTCCCTAAAATGCATTTAAAAAGTTTAAATCCAGAGATTCCAGAAGATCTTAACTCAACACTTAAAACAGACATTTATTTTTAGACTTTAAAAATGAACCTAATTAAAATATATAGCCGGTACTGTACATCCTTGAGTGTTAATCTAGACTTGCTTTTTTTTTTGCGAAATTCTGCTTTTACTTTCAGTGCTTGACAGAATCTGCTTTCCGCTCAGCAGACTGATAAACATGATTAAAAGGTTGGTACCCTGCAAATGATCGCAAAGGTCAGAAAACCAGTTCACAACAATGCCACATCAAGGCATTAAAAACCAAGGTCTTCCTGTTGCTTTTTCCCCTCCCCTTTTGCTGCATTTCCTGCCCTTGTGTAAAATGTCAGTCTAAGCCGCGATCGAACAATGCAAGACCTGGGTTGAGACGCAGCACAGCGGTAGGTACTGTAATGTTGCAGGTGTTGAACACACGGAAAGAAAACCAGGCCACATCTTGACCTCTGAAGTCTGCTCATTGAGGAGGGTGAGAGCGCTGTGAATGATTTCTGATCACTTGAGGCACTAATCAATAATAATAAATCAATTAACTCAAGGCTTTTACAACTAAGGAGTTGAATATACTGGAGCTAGAAGACCTACAAGATGCCCAGGACTGGACGAGGCTACTGCTGGCACAGCAGAGAAATCAAGGATGTCAGCAAATTGAAAGAGCCACAGAAGTGGCATTTCCTCTTCTTCCAGAACTTCATCTGTAGCACTGAGGACGTCTTGCCAAAATAATACAGCCAGTGAAGTCCTGGTAATCCAACTGAGGCACAGAAGAGAAGAACAGATGTAAAGATCCCTGGATTTTGCAGTGCCAGCACTTGTCTTTATCAGGGGCATGTGGGAGAACTGGAAGAAAACCAGACTTCCCTCATGTTTGGAGTGTGCCCCACCTGCTCGGCCAGCCAGCCGATGTGCTTGACCTCGCGGTGGCTGCTGGCGCTGCTGGAGCCCAGCGTGGAGCCGAGCTGGGCCAGGACCTGCGGCAGCAGGGCGGCGATGTTGGCGTGGATGGCGGTGAACCAGGAGTGCGCCGTGGGGGCATCCTGGCAGCGCAGGACCAGCGTGTTCCTGCCGTCCGGGGAATGCAGCTCGATCAGCCTGTTGGGCAGACGTCGGCATGTGAGAAGAAGCAATTCTGAATAAGACACTACTTGAGCCAGGACCTGTGAAAGTACTTTGCCATATAAACATGCGGAACAGAGCTCCAACACTGGCAGACCTGACAAAGGCCTTAATCTAGCCTTTTCCCCAATGGAAATGCACTTAGCCATCTGCCAATTCCTTTCCAAAGGTATATTTCTTACACAAACATATATAGGTAATTAAATGAACAATTAACTCACACCAAAAGAAGGCTCCACAGCCAAAATGTTGTGCTTTCTTTCTTCTCTTTTCAGCATGGAATAAACCAGCCCATTACTTGTTCCTTTGCAGCCTACGCATGCTAACGCAGCTACCCACCTGAGCTAGGTATTTAAAAACCGGCTGTACCATTTTCAAATGGACCACTTTTCACTCAAAGTGCATTACTGCACTCTGTTTCAAACGTTCTGAAACTGCATTTTGCAAGGCCTGAGCCTTCAGTGTTAATTCGGATATATCTTACACTTTAACGGTCTATGATTTTGTGGTGTAGATCTCAATACAGTTCCAATCTATGAATTGGCTTCATTACTCTGCTCTCCTCCCCACTGATAGCTGATGTGTGGGGAGCATTCTGGCGCACTATGGCTGCCGTCGCATCATCCAGGTGGAGGCTGCACATTGGTGGTAGTGGAGGAGTGTCCCCATTACCTGTAAAGCGCTTTGAGTGGAGTGTCCAGAAAAGCGCTATATAAGTGTAAGCAATTATTATTATTATTATATAAATGAAACTTGATATCATTGTCACATTATATTCAATGTCGTAATCCATGAGTCCTTTTACCACAAGAGAACTGGGGGGTGTACTTTTCATCTTAGACAGACCGTCACCTGATAATGTCTATTCAACATGAATTGAATTGGGAGGAACTTCCCTCTCTGCTATCATTCAGGGACATCACTGGGGGGGGGAGTAGAGTCACCCCAAACATAGAACTAGCAGCGAAAGAGTCATTTTATCATCTGTAGCCGAGCTGCAGCCCCTCGTCAGTGTGTGAAGGGAAGGCTTGTGGAAAGGGGAAGAATAAAAGTCAGATCGTGCTGTGGAATTGAAAAGGGATTGTGGTTAGCTCGCCAAGCAAAGCGCAAAGCCTGCAGGGAAAAACAGCCTGGGCCGCAGCCAAACGAGCTCAACAAATTTCCTCCAAATTACAAGTACATTTCTGTCCAGTGAGTCAGACGGCCACAGCTGCCTAACCGCTTGATCCCGTTGAAATCAGCTTGGATAACAGCTCGGTGCGCGCTAAATACAGAGCCTTCGTGAAACCGCACATCCTCTGTAATGAGAACAACCTTAATGGGGAAAATTAGCTCTTCGGGTGAGCGCAAGTTACTGATTAAACACCCTGCGGTCCCCCTCGAACACGCGCGGCAGAGTTCTGCAGTGGGGGTCGCCCCGGCGACACGGTAATAAAACACCCGCAGGAAAAATAAGCGCAGTTCAGGAAATTGCTCAACTCCGCAGTGGAGTCTCTCTGCTGCGCGGCACGACCGGGGCCCCGGAGAGGCGAGAGATCACCCGCGACGAAACACGCCGTCTTCTTTCATCTTGAACTTCCAGGTATAAACAAAGTGAATCCTATACACTACAGCCCTGGGAGGCTGCAGTAATTGAACCCGAACACCTTTAACAACGACAATTTCATTTGTTCTAGAGACAGCAGTTTTGCCCTGATTACTAAGAGATTTGTGAAACGGACAGATAAAAGGTATGTTTCTCATGTGGGTAACGGTGTCAGTTAATCGACTGCCTATTTTTTAAGGTTTATGTCTGAACTTAAGAGTTCATCTTGAACTTCACGCAACACAACTATCTACTGCTTCTCCAGATCACTATCTATGCCTGTGGTCTTTGAGCACATACTGTACATATACCGTATTACAAGTATACTGTATACACAGCATAGTACATCAATATATCTTATACTGTGATCACAAGTATCCACAAGAAGAGTAACCTTAACTCCCAAGAAATCTGTGTACAATGATGGAGGCTGCATCATTTTCAGGAAAGTGTTTCATTGTTCAAGCTAGTGTTCCTAGTCTGCTCCTATGAGAGGCATTCATTTCAATTTGCTGTTGGTTGGAGCAGCGGTGAAGGATCTGGACCTTTGGGCAGGCACTTCTTCCAGACCAGTCCAGTAAAGCACCCAGCTGTGCAAGAGCTTGTATCCAAAGCGACGGACAAATAAATGGGCACCTGGTCTCACATCTTCAGACAGTCTAGAAGGAAAATGGCCCATGATGCTTGGAAACATGCAGAAACAATAAGCAGAACCGATTGGTTGCTTGTTGCGCTTAAGCCACTGGTTTCCTAGAAATGGCCAACTGTTTACATTCCAGGAGATTATCGAGAGTCATCCAGCCGGTTTGAACGGAGTCCCAATGTCAAACAGCTGCCAAGCCTGACAATAAAGCTGTCATTCTCAGACTGATGCATGATAGAAGAGGATTTTATATCCTTACATATTCCGGTCTTCCACAGATACTCATCAAGGTAAAACCGGAAATTCAAAGTGCAGTGGCACTGAGCCTGATTTTTATTTTTAAATGAGAAAGGCCTTCACTGTTCCATGATACAGAGCCACTCCTATGCCTAAGAAACTTCACCGATGCAAAATCTGTTCAAAGGCAGTTGTGCTTGAATAGTTCCATTTGCATTTGGTAACGGTGAATCGCCTGCCTATAATCAAGAGTCAAAATAAATGATAGCGGTATTTAAAATAAAAGATGGATTTTCCTGTTATGTGGTAGATTTTGTTACCTTTTGTCAGCAAGATGACACCACCTTTCAACAAAATCTTAGACCTCAGTCTTTTCATCCTACCCATGTGTAAAAAAGTGCATCTTTATATTACAAAGTAAACGAGCTCGGCTGCTTCGCCCAGAGAAACGTCACCAGGTGTGCAGAAAGGACCACTACATACATTGTCTGGTGTGTAAATGTCAATGCAACTCATGTTTCACAGCTGTACTGACCCAAGTAAAACTCTAACCTCTTGGTTACCTTAAGGACACTATACACGGACATGTTTCACAGCGATACCCAAACAGGATATCTACTGTACGTTCTTTCATCCAAATGCTCATGTTCGATAAGCAGAGTGTGCTCCTGGCCCTATGTAAATCTAGAATTGAGAGAAAAAGTAATGGTAAGAAATGTAGCTATGACTCGTTGCTTCTCTGTGGGTAAATCCAGCCTGAAATACTACACAGAAATATTTTTGCTATCTCGTGTTACTGTATCACAGTCCTTTACTACAGTCTCTTAATGAGCACATCTCACTTTCCTGATTCTGACTCAGCAGAACTCACTCAAGTGCTCTGAGCCCTAGAGAGTGAGCTCCAATTTCAATGAGGGGTGTTTTGCAAGATTTCTAGTATTGGGGGTGGGGTTCCAAAGAGATAACCATCTCTGAGACAGTGAAGAGGAGACATGCACGTGCTTAAATTGGGCAAACAAAAATGATTTTGTTGTACACCTAAGCATTAAATACCGCACATTAAACCAATATGCACCTCAGTGGAGTAGACTGCTCTTTAAAATGTGCTTAGAATGATTGCAAAATAAACAGAACTCAGATTGCAGTACAGTTATAGGATCCCTGCCACTGCGCATTTTTTCTCTCTCAGCAAGCCGAGACAGGTGCAGTTCTACAGCCACGCAACACACTCAGTTAAAGTGCCATCAGTACAGAAGAACGCAGAGTTTCTGACAACTTCTACACCCGACAAGAGTCTCCATTCATTCAGAGCGTTTTCTTCAATTGCTGTTAGCAGCCACCAAGCACTGCAAAGGCTACAATCGCCCCAAAATCGCCAGACACGCAGTATTAAACCGCAATCCATCCATTTATCTCCATGAAAGAAAGACATGAGGTTAATTTTCATTAAATGATGCATTAAGATCATAAAACCGCAAGTAGCAGATTTTAGCAGCAAGCAGCAAGTAACACGTAACAGTAGGGAGCAAATCAAGAAATCATTTGAACGCCTGGACAGCGCAAGCGATTAAGAAGACTCCAGTGCGCACGGCGAGAACTGAATGAGCAAAGCAGAACACTTCTTTATAACCTGCTCCTTTACACTTGAGCAGATTGTTAGCAATTGCATCATGCTAGACGAGGGGTCCCCAGTCCTGTCCCTGGGGGGCCGGCGTGCCAGCAGGTTTTCCTAGCTGGACTCTCGGCTTCCATCGGCTAGTCATTGGCTTATTTATTGGTTCAACAGCTTCAGGTGCTGCTGCTCGAATGAGATTAGAACTCAGGTCTCTTTAAGGGGGGGGGAAGACAGGGGACACAACTGGAGCCCCCCGTGCGCGAGACCACACCTCTCTGTGCACTGTCACGCGCTTGCCGTGATTTTAAAGCCTTCACCGTGGAAGAGGACCACCGCGCTGAGACGGCCAAGCGCCCGGGCTCCCCGCGTGCCCCTCGCAGGGCAGAGGTACCTGCTCTCCAGGTCGGGCATGGTGAGGTTGCGGCTGATAAAGCACATCTTCAGGGGGATGACCTTCCTGTCCTTGGAGCTGGCGCAGTGCTTGGGGGAGCCCGAGTCCTCGCTGCCGCTCAGGCTGGGCGACTGGGGCGGCACGCCGTCCCAGGCCAGGTCTGCCACCAGAGAGGGCTTCTTAAACAGTGGGGTGACCTCTTTGATGTATTTCACTGCAGAGAAGAAGAGCACAGGGCGCCGTTCAGTACAGTGCAGCATGACAGAGGTGCCGGCAGGGCTCAGTGAAGCCATTCTGCTGTCAGCATTGGTCTATTTCCATGCTATATGGAAACAAACGCCCACCTGTAGATTAGAATCGTAAAAGTCAGAGACCATCTGAAATCAACTGATCATGTTTTGTTTGATACATGGTAGAGACCATCAGAAATCAACTGATCATGTCTTGTTTGACAGATGGTCAGAGACCATCAGAAATCAACTGATCATGTCTTGTTTGATGAGGCTTTGCTCAATCTATTGATCATAGATGCCATCTAATAACCCTCAAAACATAGACGTCATTGGCCTTGCAAACAGTCAGAGTTAGTCAACCTGTAGGCCAGTGAACACAGAAGCCAAGCAGCTCGTTATCATTTGGTTTTGCTATCATTTTCAGTTGACACAGTCCGTCACGTTTGTTACCTGAACACATGGACGGGTAAAATATGGCTCCCAGTGGAAATTGTGGGTCATGGGGGTGACCGTGTGAGGAAAAAAGTTCCACCCCAAAAAATAAAAACAACCCTGGCGTGTCTGTTTTGCACATCATGTTCACCAAATGTTTTAAATGTTGTTTTGAAAATAGTCACAGACAAAAACAGACAAAATACACAAAAGTAACAGTAGTCAACCCATGACAAGTGCTGATGGTGCTTAATGAAACCAGCCTGATTGGTTTCACATGCAACATTAGCTAAAAAAGTCTTCGCTGGAAGCCAGCCACCATGTTGATAAGTTTTAACAGTTTTATACAATTTAATGTTCTTTAAGGTTGGCAAAATACCTGTAAAAAATGTCACTTGATTTCACTTGAAGGCACTGGATTTTTAAGTTGCAACAGACTACAGCCACTAACCAGACTCAAGACTGCCGTCATTCCTTAAACCTTACAGAAGAGGTTTTTTATAACCTTTCTTAGCAGAGGCCAATATTTGCACATATCTTCTATGATGTAACAGAAGCATTGCAAAAAAAAAAAAAATAGGGTCTGAAAAATGTTCCTCTACCAACCTCAAAGACAGTCAGGAAATGAGGTAACTGAATTGGACTGACACTGCAATGTTTTCTAAAGAGAGTTACTGGAGAGGCCTGTTAAAACAGAAAAAGGAAGAGCTATCATCCCATGATGGTTAAAAAAAACATTCTGGCAAGTAGGAGCCTGTGTTTCAAGTGTAGTACACTGCCGCGATCTCTACGTCAAAGAAACATCGCTGCACACATCTTAACACGCTGAGCAGGGCTTGGGACGTTAACCCACTCACTCTTCAGGGTTCAGGGGTGAGCCAGCCTCGAGCTAGACCAGCTCTGCATTAGTCATGAAATACTTCAACTTCTCATCCCATGATCATGGCCTTTATAAATGATGTCCAGATAATCGCTATAAAACAGTAAGGAACTATTATTAATAATAATAATAATAATAATATAACGGAACCCAGATTCAATTCAGCTGTGATGAGACATCTAAATGACAGCAGTCCCTCTCAAACCACTGACCTAAACTGAAGCTGTGGGTCAAGTTTGTCAGGTATTAACTGCAACTGAAAACCTCAGTACACTCTACACTGATACTCTGCATCTTTAAGAGGAGAGGCACGGCTCTAATGTACTCTTTGGAATTCAATGTTGTGGCAGGACTGGGAGTCGCACTTATTTTATTTTCTTTCTTGCATTATTAATTTTCATCAGACGCATAAAAAACGATTCTTGTTAAAAAAAATGAACTTGTGATGCTCCTCGCCACTAGCCTTCCTCTACAGCTCCCGTGATTGTCTCAAACGCTACAGGCTTTCACTTTAAGTAACAGGATGGATCAAGAAAGCCACACCCACTCTTAATTCCCCCACTACAGCAAATCCAAGATGATCGCCCTGCCAAGCCCCCTCTCTTAATTCTCTTATTCCAGCCTGACCAAGATAAATACATGCTACCTTTTTTAATATTCTACTTAAATAAAAAGATGAAGTCCCAGGATAACTGAAACATTAGTATAACATTTATTAATATTTTCTTGGTTTAATATTTGACAGTATGGGAATTGTCAAGTTCAATTAAAAAAACATTCCAGACATTGGGAATGTTATGCGAGAGGCAACGCCAGTCAGAAGAGCTTTTCCTCACCCTGGACAAGAGTCTCGCTCAGTACTGACGATACTGTAGCCCATAACTCTCTGGTCACGAGTCGTTCAGGAGTCAGGAAGGCCAACTCCTAAAGGACCATATCTGCTCTGTAGATCTGTGCTGAGAGATTTGTTCTTTTTATCCCAAGATCAAAGGACCTTTGTTAAAGAAACAATATGTCTTGGATTACATATTACATTACAGAGTAAAAGGCTGTTCTAACGAGCACAATGGGGTGAACACACGCATCTCATTCCAAACTTTTCGGGGGAATTCTACTTTAATTACTCCACTGTTCCAGTCGACACTGTTGTCATTCTCTTCCCCCAGTACTTCTTTCCAAGCGAATAACCCTGCTCTTCTGAATCCCTAAGGAATCTCTCCTCCTGACTTCTCACCTCCAGCTGCAGAGAGGCCATTAGCAGCCCCAGATCCACAGCTAAAGGTCACGTGCTCGTTTGTTCACGAGCTTCTAAATTGTAAAGTGAGAGGGAAGGCATTTGACCGAAAAAAAAAAATGCTGTACCCCGAGTCATTAGAGCTGGGCAGATCTGTCAGAATTGTCTGGGTCATTTCAGTTTCCGAGGTATATGGTCTACAAATTACTGCATCCTATTTATAGCCAAATTCCAAGTCCACCCCTTTAGTAACTCCTTCAGTTTCAGTCCCCCCCCCCCATAGTCTCTCTCCTTCAGTTTCCAAATATTTGTGTTCTGTTACCTTAGGGAAACGGTTCAAACTAACTTCCGGCTCTCCAGATGTGGAGACACCCGAGATGGCAATTCACAGGAAATATTTTCCAACCCAGCCCTGATATGGGAGTTTGGTTCGTTTAAATTGTTACATAAAATAAGGCAAAAGATTGTGTCCAGTCACAGAAAACTAAAATCTGAAGCCCAGGTTGAATACAGGCCTGACCATCTTGAACACAATGTGAAGCATTGACTGTTGTGGATCATAAGAGTCATTCACGAGACAGGAAGACCAGATACACCCAGACGGTACAGGAACTGTTCATCTTAAATTGCCATAACCCGGCACATACAACCCATTTTTCTGCCTTCAGGACTTTCTTCCTCATCAGCCATTGTCTGCAGAAATAGTTAGACAGTGGGGGTGGAAAGATCCAACCACAAGACACGATGGAGAAAGAAATAAAACGAACCAAAACCAGGCCGCTTGAAAAATATGGTTGTTCAAAACACTGTAACATGAAAGCTCTCTGCCACAGAGTAAGAACAGGCAGGCTTCTGGCATGTGTGACCACAAAGAACATTCCCACTGGCACCAGTAATTGGAGCTCTACGATCTTATGCAGCCGAACACAAGAAATCCTGAATACGAGAACAGCAGTCTGCGACGTTCATCGTCTCTGCTCACGGGAACGGGACTCTCAGGTCAGAGTTCTCCTGTGTACCATCGATATACTTCCAAGGGCATCTTCGTGTGCACATCGAAGATCCCAGTGGAAAAACCACACCAGGCACAAGCTGGGACTATAACCCTCTGTCACATGCTCTCAGGGGGGAGGTTTCTACACACAGCAGTGGAACTCCGAGGCTGTTGACAAGGCCTTTTTCATGTGCTGCTGCAGATTTAAAAAAAAAAACACAATACATCAAAATGGCTATAAAGCCAACCCTTCTGCTGCGGGGTTGGTCTTTTTCCGCTCCAACAGGGCTGTGGCGCCGCGGCCGCCGGGCTGGGCGGGACCGACAGCAGCGTGGGGCGGGAACCCCCCAGGAGCCCGGATCGGGCAGCCGCGGGGAAGAGGGCACTTCAACAGTCGGACACGCCCGTCGGCCGAGTGCCCCATCAGGTCTCCGGGTAACCGCGTCCCTGGAGAGCTCCGACAGCCCCAGCACGCAGCCCCTTGGCTCTCGGAACGTATCCCCACACAAGCGCTCTTTGTTGTGCATGCCAGGCACACCGGAGACCCTGTAGAGAGGAGCTGGAATAAAAGGGAATACACTTATCCTGGGGCAGCCTCCAAGTACACAGAAAGACTACTTCTTCCCCTGAAGCTGGAGCCTGAGGTATCTGAAATGCTAGAACGCTGCACGTCCCCACTTCAGTCGGCAGGGACCGATCGTTATCCACGACAGGCTTTCAAGCTCTGGAATCCGACAGCGGATCGGCTTCAGCAGCAGCCTGTCATCCCCTGCCAAGAGGTTTCTGTGCAGAGCTGGAGCCCGTACCCCCCCCCGGCCTTCCTCCGCGATCTGTCCCCTCCCGCCACAGCGGCTGAGACAGAGAGCCAAGAGGCCTCCCAGCAGACTGGACAGCTCAGCCCTGCCAGAGCCGTCCTGGGGCAGCAAAGCCACCGTGTCCAGTTCCAAAGACGGCACTTACTCGCGAGGGCCTGACCCTTCCAGCTCCGCAAAAACCTTGAAGGGCCCATGAGGTTCGGCTTTCAGGTGAGCGATCGCCCAAAAGCTTCTACATAGATGCGGCACAGTACCTCTCTGTTTGTGCCACGAAGAAACAGTGGAATGTACAGTATGTGATTTCTGGTTTGATAACCATTTACTTCACTTAAAGAATAAGAAAACATCCTTCTATGGGAACTCTTTATTCTGCCCTTGCAGATCAATGATTGCATGACCTATGTGTAAAATGGTCTTTTAAAGCCCTCCCTACGTAATTACATAGAGTATAATCATTTTTGACTTTTTTATACTTCAATATTGTTGGAAAAAAGGACCTAATGTGTCAATTAAATGATATCTATTGGCTTCCTCTCTGGGAAGCCATCTGTACCCTGTCTCATGCTACAATTCATGTAGCTGTGTGCACGGTGTATATACTGCACTGAACTTGCAAGCGCATCTGG